GGGCCAGGCCTAGGCCCTTCCCCATGTGTCCAGGCCGAGAGAGCATTCCTTCACATGGGATGGGCTCTCAAAATTCCTTTGTACACCAGGAAAAAATACGAATCCATTACCAGGGGCCCCCTAGAGTGCCGGGGCCTCCTCATTGACATCCATGTTCAGGGGTCTGGATCAGTCCTATGCTGGCTTCCAGACAGCAGTCTGGGGTCCATGTGCTCCCCCTTGTTCAGGCCAGCTGTTTCTGTGGGTTTCACCAGCCTGATACCAACCCCTTTGATCTTAATTCCTCCCTCTCTGCAACTGGGTTCCAGAGTTCAAGTTCAGTGTATATCTGTGGGTGTCTGCCTCTGCTTCATCCTAGATGAGGGCTCTAGGATCACATATAAAGTAAATCGTCAGTCTCATTATAGGGGAAGGTCATTTAGGTTATCCTCTCCACCATTGCCTAGATTGTCAGTTCATGTCATCCTTGTAGGTCTCTGGAAATCTCTCTAGTGCCAGATCTCTCCTTGGACCTATAATGGCTCCCTCTAATATGGTATCTCTCATCCTGCTCTCCTCTATTCTTCCCCCAACTCAGTATTTCTGCTCCTCCATTTCCTCCTCTCCTCTTCTCCTCATCTCATTCTGGCAGCTCCCTCTCCCCTACCCTCATGCTCCCAATTAGCTCAGGAGTTCCGGGCCCTTCCCCATATTAATATTTTTATGTAGACACTGTGAGAGACTGTCAGGAGGATGGGCTAATAATGAGGGTAAGGATGTGGTTCTGTGGTAGTGTACCTGCAGGTAAAGTCCAGGATTTATCCTTGGCATCTCTGTTTTCTCTTTGCCTCCTCACAGGTTTAGGCAGCTTATAAATTCTGTAAACTTTCTGTCAATTCCTCCTCTGTATTTTCTTGTATTGGGAACAAAGCCTCTGCTCTTTAAGTAATTTGTTCAAAAACTAAATTCATATATAAACGAAATAAATGAGAGTATATGTATCATAGAATTGCCATGCCTCCATGTAGCTTTCTGATATTGGGCACTTAGCACACTGCATTCTGTCATCTGTAAAATGGGAATAATGAAAGTGCTTATCTTTTTGGCCAGTATGTAAAGCAATTAAAATTTTTGCTACAATTGGCATAGAGCTAGGGCTGGATTAATTTAATTTTCTATTAGCTTTCTGCACTTCAGGTGCTCATTCATAAAATAGGGGCCAAACTTTATGTCCTGTTTCTTCTACAGAGTCATTTGTAAAGCCTCCAGGACTTAATACTGGACTCTATAAAGGTTGTTAATTGTTTTAATTGACACGTCACTACATTATTCAATAGTTCTTTCCTCATCCTCCAGGAGAATAAAACGTGTCTTTGCAGAGATACATTATTCCCCAAGCCTGGTCCAACAAAATAACCACAAACCAATGATAGGTCCAGTAGCCCAGAAGTCCAGTTTAAAATTTCCCATTCCCTCTTGTTTTCAGGGGATCGTAGTAGCTGTGTATGCTGATTGGCACACTAACCAATTGGCATTTTGCTTTCTCCTGGAGCAAACTCTAGTGAGCCTTGTTAGAGAGAGCCCAGGACTGGTTGAGACAGATTGGGTAGGTAAGGACATGTATCTTTGTTCTTTTTTTGGTCTTTCGTGCTCCTTTCCTTAATGTCTGTGTGAGGGAGACACCTTTGGTTTCTACTGTCAGCTCAATTGTCTGGCACTGTCACCTGCTAGTGGTCCTTTGGTCACTCCAGCTAACTGTTGCACTCTGTCTTCTTTTGCTGGAATGCACAGTATACCTGTAAGGAAATACTGGTCTTCTGTAAGTCAAAACTGTTTGTAAACCCTGTACAAATTGGAGCAAGGAGTGTTTACTGGGATAAGATAGAAAAGCGAATGAGTGGGTTCCAACTCAGGTAGATGATTTAGTACATATGACTGCAATCGGTTTCTCACAAGTGAAAGTATGCATGATTGAGTTCATGCATAAGTGCTGTGAGATCTGATGGATTTCTAAGACAGAGAATGCCACTTGAAAATGTGTTTTGAACTACAGATCAAAACTTGTTTTGAAACTTGTTTTCTCTCTTGTTATCCCTTTTATTTCTACTGATTCTTCCTCAGGCCCCTTCAACTCTGTTTTTCCTAGGGACATCTTCTGCTAAGATTCAGTTAGAGTATTTGAAGGCAAGAGGCCCAAGGGCCTGCAGAGTAGTGCCTCTTAAACTTTAAAATGCATACACAACACCTGGAGATGCTGTTTAGTTGCATACTGGGACTTTGTAAATCTCCCAGCTTTTGCTAATGCTGCATGCCATTAATCATACTTTGAACAAGGAGACAGCTTTGGTCATATTCCCTCATTTTATTGGTTGGAAAATCCAAGTGCAGATTTCCCAGTGTTGGCTGGCATTTTTCTACCCCAGTGCTGCTTTCACTGACACTGTGATGTGCCCTCCTTCCAGTGCTTTGCTGCATTCCACTGCCTTGGATGGGAAATGATATTGATACTCATCCCTGTATTCTGTTTTGATCAGATACACTCTGATACCCTTGTGTGGGTTAGAATGTACAGTAGAGAATCCAACAGTTATCAGCATAATATTGGGGAAATGGAAAATCTGGAAAGGGGAAAGTATTCATTTTTTTCCTCTAAGAAAGGTTTGAGGTTTTGTAGGTGGTAGAAATCAAGAGTGTCCTTTCATGGTTTTTTTTATTTTTATTTTACACACACACACACACACACACACACACACACACACACACACACACACACACACGGACAGAGATGAAAGCCCAAGTGCCTTCCTTAAGTGATGTCCATTTTATTTTTGCAACAAGTTGTCTCACTAAACTGGGAACTCACAAACTGTTTAGGCTGGATGGCCAAGGAGTACCAGGGATCCATCCATCTCCACCCTCCTCTTCCAGTTCTGGGAATATAGGCATGTACCATTATGTCAGGCTTTTCCATGAGTGATCTGAATCCAAACTTAGATCCTCATACTTACCCTGTGAGCCATGTCTGCAGCCCCAAAGTATCCCTTTATAAAAGAATATTTTAGAGAGTGTTGGTACCCCCTTCTGTTTGTCTCTGGTGGCTGGGGTATTAGTTTACCTAAGTTAGTGTATGTATCCCTCAAAGCAGATGCTTTGTATTGCGGATAATGAGTATAAGCCATCATCTGCATAGTTTTATTTTCTCTGGGGTTTAGTCGGTAGTCATCAGCTGAGAGTTTGCTAGTCTCTTGACTCCACATTTCTTCTTTCCTTTTGAAGGGTAAAGGTTCCATAACATAGGTCTCTGGTAAGTCATACATAATGTATTTGAAACAAGAATGGTGATAGTGGTATTTCATGTAGCATACTAAATGACAGGTGCATCCAATCTAACTTTATTGCTGCTTGGCTGAGTTTTGGGGGATTGAGATAAAAAAAATTGTTTGGATTTGAGAGGAGAGTAGGATGTGACATTTATTGAGCACCTACCACGTATGCTTTATACATACAGATTAATGTTTGAGCTGAGTGACTCCTCTTTGTGTAAGTGGTATTATAGTTGTTTTGCAAACGAGGTCCCCGAGACTCAGAGATGGTAAATTAGCTGATTTAGAAGCCTGATTACTCAAAAGCTAAAACCCGTGTCCATTCTACTTCTTTATACTGCAACCTTTCAATTTTTTGAAATGTTTTTGAACATGATCAGAAGGACTTTATAGTACTTTAGAAAGTGCTTGCCAGTCTGTGTTGATTAATATTTTGTTTGGGGGTAGTCATTCACTTCACTCATTTGCTACTGTAAAACGGAAATTGAATGTGAGTGGGTCTGGAAGGGCAGCTCTCAGAGTTGAAAGGATCTCTTGTGTAACCGAACAACAAATAATTTTATAATAATGTAGCTGCTTGTAAGGTGCATATGTATATCCTTTTTTTGAGGCAGGGTTTCTCTGTTTAGCCCTGGCTGTCCTGGACCTGACTGTAGAACAGGCTGGCCTCAAACTCAGAGATCCACTTGCCTCTGCCTCCGGAGTGCTGGGAATAAAGACATATGCCACCACTTCCCAGCACTTATGTGTAACTACTGAGGTAATTTATTTTTCTCCATTTTTATTTAAATTAGAAACAAGATTGTTTTACATGTCAAATCCCAGTTCCCTCTACCTCCCCTCCTCCCCTGTCCCTCACTAACATCCACGTATCACATACCATTTCTGCTCCCCAGGGAAAGTGAGGCCTTCCATTGGGGGAGTGGTCTTTGGAGACCCTTTTAGAATATAAACTAAAATCCCATACTGAGATTGGCAAAACTATAATTCTCCTAAGGGATATGGTTACTTAAATTCTTATCACACATTATTTTCAGTAATTCCTTTCCTTCTGCTCTTATCTTTTCTATTTATTTTCCTGACTAGGTGTCTAGATTAGATACCTAGATACAGAATTAGATTATAGTATCTTCTAATTGAATGCCAGCTTTGGGTACAATCTTGCCTGTCATGCATACATGGCTGTATGCAGTCATCCTCCTGTATTTTTGTGTAGTGTCGTAATTTCTGTGCCCAGAACTTTAAAAAATATCAAGTCCACCAGGTAGTAACCATGCTATATAAGTTGTAATGTATTTGATTGTTTCAGTGCACAACTCTTATGTAAATTGGTTCCTACTGTTTTGGAGGCTAAACTGGGGACCAAGTCACAGCCGTGGTACATATAGAGGGTGGTGTGTCTCAATTAAAAGACCATGTAAATAGAGATAGGTGTACTTACTTCTGTTTTATAGGTAAGGCAGCTGAAGCCATTGTTGTTTAAGTTGTTTTCTCAGGGTTAATTGCAGTAGAATAAAGTTTTGTACCCAGATCTACTACATTTTAAGGTATACATTTTCCTAGAGATGCTATAGAAAAACTAAGTTTTCTTAAGAGTGTCTCCAGAATTTTGAGGTAATTCTGGTGAATGATATTTTAAAGCATTTTTTTCTGATTGCAGCTCTGCCTTGGATGAAACACTGCTGAATCTGCGTTAAGATGCCACCACCGCTACTAGCCAAAAGCTCCAAACTGGAGCCTGAGAAAGCTCAGCCTAACAAGATTGTGCCCAGTGAGGAAGACCAAGCTGAAAAGGTTAAAGCAAATGATTTCTTCCCATAGTGTATCTTGCAGTATTTTTATGCATTGCTTTAGTGCTTATGCTGAACTCGAATCCTTTATGATGCTTGTATTCTTTTGAGAAAGTGGCTGTTTCTAGCAATCCTTGGAGTTGAAGAATACTTGCAGGTTGGAACACAGGGATAGGAATTACCTTTGATCCCAGCACGAAGGAGGCAGAAGCAGGCGGATCTCTGTGAGTTTGAGGCCAGGTTGGTCTACAGAGTGAGTTCCAGGACAGCCTCCAAAGCTACAGAGAAATCCTGTCTCGGAAAAAAAAAACACAAAAGGGATTTGGTTCAAGATTGAGCTCTTGCCTAACATGTCCGAGTCCTTAGGTTCTATCCCAGTCATCCCTCCAAAGTGACTTGAGCAAAAGATATAAATACTCATACTTCAATATGTATGGATGAAACCAATGCTATTTACCACATCTTCCAAAGCCAAACAATATAGAATTCTCATTAATTTTTAAAATAAAGTCTATACTTTTTTTTTATTCTAGAAGCTCCAAGTATCTTACCAGGAGGCTGTAGTACATTCTTGGTAGTACATTTTGTCAGTAAGAATATTATTGTGCTTTTTAAATTGAGTATTCATAATTTGAAAATCCAACATTTAAAATTTTCAGAGTCTGAAACAGATTGAGTGATGACCTAATTCTGCAAGTGAAAAATTCCATATTTAATCTCAGGTGATGGAGTTTACAGTCAGACTGCAGGCATTCTAGTGGTCAAGGAGATTGTTCAGTGATTAAAGTGGTTGCAAGCATGAGGACCAGTTTGAATTCCTATCATCCACATAAATGCTGAGTGGACATGGCAGCTTGCCTGTAATTCTAGTGCTCAGAAGGCAAAAACAGGATCCTTGGAGCAAGCTGGTTAGTCATACTAGCTATGTAGGCAGACTAGATTGAACTGAGGAACACTGCCACAGTGAATATAGTGAGAGCAACAGAGATCTCTGATATCAGCCTTGGGCTTCCACATCCACAGGCACACATTTGCACATGTACATACTTGCACACATATGTGTACCCACACACATGCAAACATTATATTTGACCCGTCCCGCAGGTCCAGTCATTCAGGGTTCCGAAGGGGTGCTGCCTGAAAGAGTCATGGGCGAGAGAAAGAAAGGAGACCAAGCAGTGAAAGAAAGGGCAAGAGTCCGTCTGTGCAATGTCAAGGTCTCGATTTATTGGGGCTCAGAGTGGGCTTAAATAGCCCTGCAACAATAGAATTGGGGGGAATAATAGAAGGAACATCAGTTATTTGCTGGGACTGGAACATTCTTCTTGTCAGCCGGAACATTTAGTGCTCTTCCTTGGAACAGCGAACAGAAAAGCTCCAGACCCTTTCTCGGAACAGAAGCAGTTA